TGGCGGTTCAAACCCACCAGCCACTCCTCGGAAGGAAGGTTGGGCAATCTACTTCCCTAGTGATACCGCCTCGGAAACCCTAGGAGGGGTCACTATGAGTGAGTCCGACTTGACGGCAGATAACAACATAACTTGCCAGGAAGTTCCTGGGTAGTGGAAACGGTTAATATGCTTGGCTGTGAACCAAAGGATTGGAGGTTGAAGTCCACTGAAAAGCTCTTCAAAAGAGGCCCTGGCATCTACTTCTGAAAAATCAGCCACTGAAAACGCTATGGAGCATAATTCTATCCTGACACACAAGGGGTTGCCATGAAATCGGAGTGACTTAAAGGCAACTGGTTGTTGTTAAAGCTTCTAAGAACCCATAGACGGAGCCTTCACTGCTCTTTTGCCTAGCTCTGGCTACAGAAACTTGGTCCAGATGGGCGCTGTCTCCCTTAACAGACTATAAAAGCCTGGCACGGACCAAGTCAGTTATCAACACAAGCTTGCTGGAGGCATGAATAACAGTTGCCTGTAGGCGCCTGCGCGCGGCGGGGGCGTGACTCAGAGCAGGGGCGTGGCCCGGGGCAGGGTGGGGGGACGAGGCGGGAGCCGGCTGCAGCGCGTGCAGCCGTTACTGGTCGCGCAGGGTCACGTGAGCGCGCAGGCGCAACGCCGCGAAGCCCGCTCCCTCACACAAAGCCCAGACGCGGAGAAAATGGCGGCAGGGGTCGAAGCAGCAGCCGAGGTGGCGGCGACGGAGCCCAAAATGGAGGAGGAAAGCGGCGCGCCCAGCGTGCCAAGTGGCAACGGGGCTCCGGGCCCTAAAGGGTGAGTATTTTCCCTACTCCTTGCCCCGGGACTTATTGCGACGGTCGGCAGCCTCTCGGCGACGGCGGCGGCGGCTCCGTTAGGTCTGTTGGCGGCCTTCCCCCGGCGCGGCCTCGGCCACGGCCTTTCCCTTAGGGCTCTCCGAGGTGAACCGGGGACCGGATGGCCTCGGGAGCGCCTCACGGCTTGTCTCCTGTTCCCAGTCCTCAGATTTTAGTCACCTCAATCGCTTTAGGCCGGGGCCGACTCTTAAGGCCGAGGCCTCAGGCCCGGCCTCAGCGAGCGAGGATTATGGCGCGGGTCCTAGGACCGGTGGGTCCCGGGTCCGAGGCCCAGTTGGTGGTCCAGTGACCTTGGGCGCGTGGCTTAACCCCCGCCGCTGGGTCTCAGTTTCCCTATCGATAAAGTGGGGGAGGGGAGAGAGTGCGCGCGCAGTGCCCCGCGCGTGGTCGGCCCCGGTAAACGATGGAGGGGTGTGTGTGGAAGAGCCGCGAGGCCGGATCAGGATCTCTCCCCGACTCCGGCACTCTCCCTCTCCCCCTCCCCCTCCCCCCGGGAAGTGCTTCTCGGAACCGCCCCTTGCCCCGCGCTTTGGCCCCTGCTGAAGTCCCATGCGGCTTCCCGCGCCGCCGCTTAAGGTGCGCAGTAGATATTTACGGTGTGGTCAGACCTGCTTCTCGATTTTCCTTCTTAAAAACAAATACCCAGACAAAAAGAGTGTGTGTGTGGGGAGAAGCCAACCCTCTTAAGTGTTGCAGGGGAGATTTTTTCATCGTTAGGTTGGCTGGTTCACCCACTTCCATACCCCGTCACGTTTTTGAGGCCTGCTCGGGGCTCTGCCTTGGGTCCTTTGGATTTGAAGATCGTGTTACATGAATCGGCAGCCTCTTGTGGCCTGCTCTTTCGGATTACAGGCGCTGGAAGAGAAGATGGGGAAGTGTTTTGGTTTCATCCAGGAGTAGAGGGCAAGACTGGGGCGAATATTTAATTTCCTACGAAGTTTTGACATGAGTTACACTTGAGTTTTAAGAGCTCTTCTGGACAAGATGTGTGAGGGTTCAAAGAGTGACTATGGTTAAAGCACTGCTAATGAGTGTGTGGTAAATACCAGCTATATTGTTGAGTGGGGAAGTGGGGAACGTCCCAAGCTGTTTCTCTGGTTAAGGCATTTGACTGCTAACCAAAAAGGTCGTGGTTCGAACCCACCAGCTCTCCGTGAAAGAAAGATGAGGCCGTCAGCTTCTATAAAGATTTACAGCCTTGGAAACCAAAGGGGGGACAGTATGAGTCGGAATCCACTATATGATAGCAGTGCGTTTGGTTTTGTTTTCTTCTCCTTGGGTGCGAAGGGACAAGATAAATGTAAAAGTATATTTTGGACCGCTACAAAGATTGTGGTCCTTGGAAGTCAAAAGAAAAGCATCTTCTATCTCAACATTGGAGACGCTGGAAAGGGATGTGGCATTTTGAGCCTAGTGGTACGGCCATAGATAGAGGGCTTTAACACTTTGAAGATTGAATTATTTTTTGAAACTCTGTATTTTCAGTAGTGGAAGGTATTTTGAATGAAATGGGAGTTTTTTTCCCCCCAGTAATGAGGATTTTAGTAAAATTAATGGAGCAGATGTGTCCCTGGGGTGCCTGGTGCTGAGGTTGGTGCCTTTGGGTTCTTGCAGTTATATAGGCCCCCACAAGGTGGCAGCACCCAGTAAAAGTGGGATAACATTTTCCCACCAAACCTCAGAGACAAAGTAGGTGGTCACTATTTCCTGAATAGCTTTTTTTTCCCCTCTCAAAGCAGTTCTCACAGGATGGAGTGCCACTAGAACTGTGCGGGTGAAAGTTTGAATTAGATAATAGCGGGGTACATTTTTCACATTATGATTTTCCATTGACCATTTGCAAATGGGTAGTCACCCTATGACAGATTAATTTGACAGGCCTAATAAGTGGAGTGAAAGTAGAGATAAGACAACCCTTTCTTAGGAAGACTCAGAATCTTGGACTGGTTTAAAAGAAGATACTTAGATTTCCTAGAACGTGTGGAAAGCTTTTTTTGCATCATGAAGCTCTTGAAGCAAAGCTCTTAAGAAGCCTGTGGAGGGGAACTAACATTTTTCCAGTAAGGTAATTGTGCAGTGGTAAAAGTGAGAGGAGTGGTAGGGAGCATAAAGCAGGTTCCCCCACCCCTTTGCAGCCTAACCTCTTGAAGGTAGGGAGTATTCCACCAGGAGTGGGAAAGGGAGGAGAGAAGATGGTTGAGATGAGGCAGAGAGGAGAGTGCCCAAAGGACCGAAGATGTTGGTATATGCTTTATAACGAATTGAAGCTGATATTAAAGGCTCCAGCCTGGTTTGTGGGCAATGAATCCAGGCCAAGGAATTTGGATTTTTTTTTGAAGTTTGAAAGGTAAGTGAAAGTAGAAACTAGGTCTTTAACCCATTTCTCTCTACCTGGAGTGTGCAGTAGATCAAAAAAGCAGTGATGCCAGCAAACTTGGTCAGACCCCAGGCTGGACAGCTTCTTTTGCAGTAACTGGGTGTGAGAAGAGGGATTGTACTTTGATGGGAAATCTCCATCTAAAGACAGCCAAGATTCAGAGTTAGGGTATATTTTAGTCACTCGTTTTAGAAGATTATAAATGTTTGATACCTATAAAGGTTGCACCGTGTATTTAAAATCCACTACTTAATCTACTCCCACTCCTCATTAATTTTGTGGCTAAATCAGAAAACAAAGTTATATTTCATACAGATTTCTGGGTAGTAATGTTAGTTTAACTCTGTTTTACAATTACAAAAAAACAAACAAACAATTGAGAACATTCAGGGTGTGGAACTTGACCCCATACTCAAGAGGAGGCCATCTTGCCTCCAAGGCCCTTGTTGCTTCCACAGTATTACCCTGGTAACTGCTCTCTGAACAGTCATTTGAATGGTTTTATATAAACCAGATTTTCTGTGCTTTGAAAGGATTTGTGCGTTTGCTCTATCTTGAAAAGTGATTGTATATGTGATGAAAAAGGATTTTTGAGACACGTAGATGGTAAGTTCAGGATTAGAATAGGAGACTGGATTATTTGAATGCATGCTGCCAGCTCTTAACGTCTCACTTTGCTGTTAGATTTCATTCATGGCTAGAGAAAGATACTAGTCTGCAGGGATTAGGTTGTGTTTTTTTTTTTTTTTTTTAAGCTGTCAGTTGAGCTGTTCCATTACCATGTTTTGCAGTCAGAGGTAAAAGCTGTATGTCCCTTCAGTAGCCTGCAGAGTGCAGGGGCCTAGGTTTCCTCAGCTACAGCTCTCTTTGGCTTGTTTTAAAGCCTAATCAGGATGTGCAACATTAGAAGGCTAGGAGTGAATCAGTCCTTTTCCCTAGCCCCCACAAGATAATTACTGGTACAAAAATACGTCATTGTCAGTTACTGCGTGCCAAGAGTCTTGAACCTGTAAGAATAGATAATAATCTCTCCATTTACAGATGAATGAACTGAGCCCTAGCAAAGAGATTTTTTCATGGCATTCAAGCCTAGACACATGACCCTAAAGCCTTAGCTTTTCTTTCTTTATCACTGCTTCCTTGTATATTTTGCACTTATATTTTGCCAAGCTGCTTTTGTCTATGTTAGTCTTTGTTGATTTCTCACAGCATGCCTGTGAGCTACCTACCATGGTCATGGTGGTGGGGTTGGTGAAGAGTCAGGTAGAGCTTGAATGAAGTACATAGTTAGGTGGTAGACTTGGAGCCACAGTATCGCTATAAATATTTTATGTCAGAGGTGCTCAGGAGTTACAGGCTTTCTGTGAAGAAGCACTTTGCATACAGGATGATTGGGGTGAGTTTTGACCTTCAGGAGATATGATGGGAGTTTCAAAGTGTTGGGGGTGTCTTTTCAA